TTGATTGGCTCGTTTATATTACGGTAATGTTCAGACTACCGGATGATATAGAATCCTGTAAAGAAATAAGAAGTAGGGAAGACTGAAACAGGTTGTTCACAGTTTTTAAATAATGATTTTTAGAAAAAAGTAAAAGTAAAATTTTGAAATAATATATACGAAATAATATACTCCTATAGAGCCTTTTAAATGTTAAAAAAAATATTATTTTTTAATACATCATATATCGTACAGAAAAAGTTTATTTAATTTCAAATAAAGCTGAGAAAATGTGACAAATATTAGTTCTGTACTAAGAGTTAATTATTACATGATCCGAGATTAGTAGCAACACATTTTATATGGATAAAATATAATTAAAAATGTAGTTTTTATTTTAATGTCATTTTTATATTTTTTAAAATAATAACAGTAATTATAATCTCTCTATTGCTACAAGAAAAAAATTATAGTTATTTTAATTATAATGTACATAATTTATTTTATACAATATTGTAGTTTCTATATAAAAAATAAAAAACCGATTTTATTAGTAAGAATTAGTTTTTACGAAGCTGTTTAGTTCTAATAACTGATGAAATGTGATAGAAATAGTTTTAACGAAGATGTTAAATATTAATGAAATCGGGTTTTAATGGATTATGGATTTTGATAGTAACGTACATAAATGAAATCATCATAAAGAGCCAACGCAAATATTAATGCGCTATTACAGGTAATTTAATTTATACAATATTATATTAGTTTTACCCACAGAGCCATCATATATACATATAATTTATTTAGTCTGATAAATGCATAGCCATGATATTAATAAGTTAAACGCAATGTGTCATTTGCCAAATCTACCTCAACAAATGGTATTCTGTGTTATCCTTTATTATAATTACCTTCTTATGTGTGTATGTTATATACATACTACTTTTAATTTAAATATATACTCTTATCTAAATAAAATCCCCAATAATAAACAGATATATAGTTTGTAATACCTGTGAATTATATAGTTTCATTTTTATTATTCATATTTCCAAAATTTTAAACAAAATGTGTATGTAAGTATATGTCACATGTACATATACTTGTTTATATTTTATAATATTTATAAACAAATTCCGCTTTTAAAATTAATTTTTTCATTTCGTATATAAATTCTTATTCTTGACGAAAGCTTAAAATGCGGAAATAATCAAAACTTTATTTTACCTCTTGCTCGAACCTAACATACATCAACAAACTAACGAAACAAATGTATAAATATTTATAAGAGAACTGTCGGAACCGCGTCTTTCATCATTTTGATGGGCTTTGGATATTATAGAACGTCAAAAAATATTAGATCCATATTTCTTTTTATCAACGTATCTCAAAGTTTAGGATTAAAACATCCCCTCGAAGAAAATAGATTCTATAGTCTTCAACAAATATCTTCGAAATGTGCGATATATAAAAATCTTTTATATAAAAAATTACGATTTTTCATGCACTATATTACGAGCGCTATGCTAACACGACATTTTAATAATAAAATAAATATAAAAGTTTAATTAAGACACGTCACGTTCGACCGTCACGTAATATTTCCGCGTGATGTTTTCGACCTCTCCGAATACCAGGAAAATTGACCAGAGGCGTTTCGTCCGTAGAGACACGCAAAAATAAGGAATAACCAGACTGGAGCATTGATTTGACTCACTCACAGTCCGAATTCTTAAGAAAACATTACGTCCGTCTAATGCCTTAGTAGGATAAAAATATGACGATAACCCGTAAATCTTCTGATATTTTTTAACATAGTAAACCTCTTACGAGTTTAACAACAAAATGCGTTTCAAACATTAAAAGAGAAACTGACGACCGCACCGATACTGAAATACCAGGATTTTACACGCGAATTCGTAGTAACGATAGACGCTTCCGATTATGCCATCGGAGCCGTGTTGTCACAAGAACCCGTCGGCCAAAACGCTAGCAGAATTCTCAACAAGGCTGAACAGAATTATAGCACAACTGAGAAAGAACTATTAGCTATATAGTTTGAGTCGTAAAATATTTTAGACCATATTTATATGAAGTAAAGTTTATAATAGTGACTGTGATTATAATATACAGTTGTTGTTTAACGTAACGGATCCAGGACACCACTTATCATTCGAAGTTAATAGATAGTAAGAATAGATAGCATTAAGGAATGTTTGACAAAATAAGAACACTTACCTTAAGGGCGAAAAGCCGGAGGCAACATCTCCACCCTCCTGGTGACAAGGCACAGATAGATTCGCAGCCTGGGAATGACGTTATAAGGATTCTAAACCAGCTGCGGCCGCGCAGACGACCAGTCGTTCCTTAAATTTTGGACCACTTTTAACTGTAAACTTTCAACTGTACGTAAAAACTGGAAATTTTTTTCTTTTATGTTGAATTACTACCATGAACAAAGTACTGAGTTTCCGTTACTCTTTGTAGAACAGTTTAGTCAAATATTGAAACTATTCTACTACAGATACAGTTGGTGTGTGTGCTTATATATAATCACCCTATCAATTTAATTATATGAAGTATTAATTTATATTATTTAGTTCTTCACACACACACAAACAAAAATTACATCGTTTAATTTAAACATTGCGTCCTTTTCACAAATTCTTCATTTTAATGGATTAAATCTTTACTAATTTATTCCTTGGTTCCAATTAATGGACGTGCCGATCGTATATTTCATTCGTTTAATAAGATAATTATTTATACTGATAGGTATTCAGTTATTTTTTCATTTCATATTTTTGTTTTATATATAGTTTTCACTAAACTTTCAACTTATTTGCTAGTTCAAATAATTATTTATTTATAATACAATATATTATTGTATCATTGTAGAAATATTTTAGTCAGGTACATGAAACATTTCGTGATTTTTAACAACATTTTTCTCAGTAATATAAATAAAGTAGAAATAAAAACATTGTAATTCGAGAAATATTTTTCTTTTCAAAAATAATACACATCTCTCTTTCTTATATTTAGTCTATTTATTTTCATCAAACATGATACGTATGTTATTAGGAACTACGCTATTATTAATCCTTGTGATAAGATGTATAATATTTGATTGTAAGAATATTTGGAAGTCTCTTTTATTGCGATTCTAAATTTGCTTGATTTCGTCGAAGGATCACCATTATGAATTAAAACTAACGCTATCAGGGAGAAAGATCTTGTGGCTGAAAGCCCGAGGCAATGGCGCGCGAGGAGAACGTATCCTGTGGAGTCAGTGTATCAGTGCACCGAAGTTGGGGGAGGGTGGCTTGTTTACTAGCGACAGTTGATTTGACAAAGCCACGAGTCCATTTATACAAGTGAATATTACAGGGGCGCAGTCGTAGGGTGGCTTGTTATCCGCTCATTGAAGTTAACCACGGGGCTAAGTGCGCGAGGAGGGTAGCGACGGTGACGACGAAGGCAGCGGGGGCTGGAGGATTGGTGGGTGATGCATCACGAGGGTGAGTAGAAACGTGATGGAGAAGAGGGAACAGAGAAGAGAGATGGTTTGCGCGAAAGCCTACGAGCCAATAAGAGGCCAGATCGTCACCACCGAGTAACCACGGGGCTTTCCGCTGGATTATTCGACCGAGATTGAAAAGTTAGCGCCAACTGGTTTGCGATATCCATGAATCGTTATCTTTGTAACTCTTCTGTTAGTTTTTCTGGTTAAAAAATAGATATCTATAAAAAATGGTAGAATTGCATTTATATAAAATAATAAATTTCCACAAGTAGAAAAAAAATCATTCCGCATTTATAGAAATAAATTATATACCTATAATGCACATGATTGAAGACCGATTATTAATACTGTGGAACAAGTGTATGTAGATACTCCGTACGAATAATAGCTAATAATTCTTAATGTAATTTTAGATGAAGATCATCGACACCGATGAAACAATTATTATTAATGTTGAGGTTTTATATCACGGACAATTTTCTGCGTACCTTTAGTGATTAAATGTTACACTGAAATATTTAGTATTATATGTATATTGCAAAATGTTTATGCAACATTGCAGGAAGATTTAGAATATTTATTCTTTTTAAACAATGATGTCTGTAACAAATATTTTTAGAAGGTGAACATATAGAAAAATTTAGAAATTGAAAAACATATTTTTCTTTAAATAAGTTTATGATTATAACACAAAAATAAACATTGTCAGTACATGGCTCTGTTCATTATGTAACAATTTTTCAACATAACCGACTGCACCAAAAAGATTAGAGGAAAGCGAATTTCAACTGGAAATATTACTAGAAATAGTGAATCAAAAAATATTTTCTCACTCCCCTTTTGCATCCAACTTTTAATGTGCAGAAATGTACATAATATAAATATAAAAGAATATTCGTGCATACTGAGAAAGATTCACATACTTTTTGATGTATATATGTAACGACACATTTATATAAAATTAATTTATCAGTTTCTTTTTATGCAAATTTCATTATACAACGTGTTTCAGGATTTAACAAACAAACTGCGGAAGCATATTCTAGATGGAATAAGAAAAAAAATTATATGAAGTTTGAAAATGCTTTATTACAAAGTTATAAACAAATATTGAAACAAAACATGAAATAGGAAACAACGGATTTTGCATTGCGCAGAAAATAAAAGTGTATATTTTGTGTACGATAAGATCTAACGTGTTTGTTTCATATGTATTCACATCACATTTACTATCCTTAAACGATTCAATATCATTTCGACCTGCGTATATATTTGTTTGTAACTTTATAATAAAGCATTTCTAGCCAAACTTTATATAACATTTTTCTCTTATTTTCGCTTGTAGAATATACTCCCACAGTTTGTTTGTTAAATCCTGAAACAGCCTTACATTAACATGGTAACAAAAAATATGTGTTAAAGTTATTGAAATAAAAATTGAGATTCCATAAACTTACGCTTTAGTCGCTTTTAATTATACTTAACGAAATGACCTTTATCTTAGTTTAGTCGTGCATGGTTGTTGCACATAATTAAGACAGAAGCCTCTATTTCCAACATCATTGGGTCCTTCGATGCTGTCCGTGTGAAAAATTAATCTGAATGGTTTTATGGTACCTGAAAAAGTAATTAAAGAAAAAGTAGATATAAGATCATTTACAAAGATTTCAATATTTATAATTTTAACTCTGAAAATCTTCCAAGATCAGACTAATTAAGGGGATGCTGAAATAAAATTATTGATACATTATAACTGTATAAAAGTCTTTGAATTAATTAAAACGGAATCAAAAATCCTTTTACAGGATTGAAATATAAACACAGAATTAGGAGATGGTAAAACTGACTTTATACTAAATTAAAAAGTCGACTCGTAGATTAATTGACGGAACCTTGATTATTGACGGTTCCTTTATAGAGGGTTTCTTAACAAAAGTTCTATAGCTTTTAATGATAAAATAACATACTTTTTTTAAGTACTTTAACATGCTTATCTCAACGTAAATATATCATTAAATTCTTTGTAAATTAAATTTGTCACATTTAATTTGTCACATTACTATTCTAGTTTTAATTAGGATTGCGTTTTAAGATAGAAAATTTAATTGGTGTTATCTGTTTGGAGAATTTAATATATACATATATAAATTTATTCTAACATATTATTACGCACGAAGATCAATCATTGTGAATTAAAATTTCTCTTTTTATGAACAATAAATTATCTTAAATTTAATAATAAGTAAACTAATTACAGAGATGTATTAATATTCCCAAATAGCACAGAATATTTATGATAAATATTTATAAATATTGTTACGTCTAATGGAGTCTGAACGTGACAATAAAAATAATAACAGACTCACTAATAATAGTCGAGCTGTTCAAGCTCGAGGCTTCTGAGTTGAAGGCACCACCGCACAATCGATCGACGCATGTCATTGGCGTTGATGGTAATCGATTAAGATTTGTGGCGCACGGTATTGACAACCAGTCAGTCATACAGGTCGTTCCTGTCATCGATCCAGTTTGCGCAGTTTGTGTATTTCCCGTCAGAGTAAATGAGTTACTACGTATTTGATTCGTTGCAATTGTGGTTGTCATTATTCCTTGAGCTGTAAAGGAATTATACAGAGTGTTCTATAAGATCGCTTGTCATGAGTATAGGTAAAGCAGACTGAGTCAAAAAGTCTTCTACCACTTTGCAATGTCTGCAGTTAACGAGATATTATAATTTTTAAAGATAGCTGAATATATATATATATATATAAGCGTCAGTGGCTGCGTTCAGTAAACTCAACAGTTTAAGTAAGCGCTCGCTGCTATTGATGTAATCTTTCTAGATCTAAAATTTGTTTGGGTGATCTAAAAGAATTATTTGACTATCTTTAAAAATTAATATCTTGTTAATTATTGCAAAAATTGCAAAATGGTAAAAGATGATTTTTCGATTCAATTCAGTCCGCTCTATACCTATTCGTGACGAGTATAATTCCATAATTATGGACATCCTGTATATATTTTTATACCGTCGTCAGAACATGCCATGTATTGGATTCCGCAAAAGTTCCTCTCCATTCTGATACATATACTGTAATCTTGATTTGACAATTGTAGCCCAATCATGGGATCGTAATTGAAAGATTTTATCTGGCCGGAAACTCCGGTGAAATACTGAAGGCAACCCTCTTCGGCTCGGTATATCGTACTGCATCGTATTTGCGAGATTCGAACCTTCCATGAGCGTGAAAAAGAGTTACTACTCGTAACGAAAGTTAAAGTAACCGGATTGGTTTGCCCGACTCCTGTGTCTATGTACACTGTAAAAAGTTTATTTAACTTATATAGAAAATTAAATTAATGTACCGTTTGAAATATCTTAATTTAACTGTTAATAGACTTTCTATACTATGGTAGTAATTAAATAACACTGTTTCACAAAAAATGTACAGAACAAGTTTAATTATGCCAAGTCCAGATAGTGCAAAGATAAATGCCATAAAAAAAGAAGTAAATGAAAATAATATTTCAAGTATTTTTATTTAAAAAGTTCCACAGAACACAATTTTTCTTGTATGTAAAGTTTCTTTAAAATCAGAATGTATCGACTTCGCGAGGTTCCTTTTGTATATTAAATTACAGTTACTAAGATAATTCTAACTATAACTTCATTATAAAGTGACGAGTTATACTTCCCAACAAATAACTTCCCTGCAAATAACTTCTGTTTTTTTTATACTTACTATGATTTCCATCATTGTTACCGCAGATTATCGGTACCGGATTACCACCGGAAACGATAAATTGGTCGTAAACACATACATTATTCGTCGTTTCCGGGCCCCTGATATTGAATTGTACAAAGTCTAATCTATAATGAAACGAGAGACTACTGAGCAAAGCAATATCTTCATAGAGTCATATTTATGAAATTATATTCATATTATATAATGTAATATAATATATATAAATTATGTATTAAATATTTCTTAAATTATGTATAATTATATAAACTTAAAATACAATTTATTAACAATTATCATTATACTTTTAAATATATATTCTTAATATATACATATATTATATACCGATATTGGCATACATCTGGATCAGATTTTACTATCGTTAATTGACACGATTGTATTCCGTCGTAAGTAGACGGATAATTTGGGTTAACAAAGTGTGTGTTGTTATCGGAGGTCATCCCGCCGCAAGATACCGTGACTATTGAAAAATGGAATAAAAATGTAGATTAAGAGGTTTCTTTATAAAAACGTCTAAACGTTCAATCTGATGTTTATCTACCTATACAACAGACTCCGTAACCATTAGCGCAAACGCCGCTGGGGGTACCTCCGCGCTGTACGCATTCCGCTGCCGCAACACACGTGCCGTTCTCTCCGTTCAATCCGTCGCAGATGCCGTTCTCAAATTTTACCAACGTGAACAGCGAGAACACTATATACATATGTATATCACTCTCTTCTCTACTACGATTTTGAAAACTTATAAACTACAACTGCAGTTTGTAATATGCATATGTTAGAACAATTTTTTTCAAAATTAAATATATTATTAAAATTTTTTCATTTTATTTTGAACAGAAGATTTCTAAATTTTACTATAAGGATTTTTAAGGATACAAACTAAAGATATATCCTTATTGTTACGATTAATTATATTTGGAGTCTGTTACATAAAACAAAATTGTAAATGAAATAAGTCATTCGGAATAATAAATAAGTTTCATATTTATTTATTTATGAAAATGTTTCCTATATTTAACATAATAAATTACGTTAAATAATTTTTTTCTAGAACATTGTAGTACATTTCTCAGAATTTTGGTACTAAACACGATCGTATTGTATATAAACATCGAAAAGAATAATTTCCATTTTCTTTTAATTTTTTTTTTTAACTATATTTACACTACAATCTCACTCACGTCTTTTCTTCCTAGGAGTCTGAATACGATTATTCGGAAATTTTGATGATTCCCATTTACGTTTTTCTGCAATGGATAAAGCAGATCCATTACCGTTTGTTTGCCACAATCGTTGTCTATTCACGATTTTATGCCTATCGAGATTATTCCAGGCATCGACGTAAGTGTGAAAAACAATGTAGCATATCAAAAGCACGATCAATAATTGATTTTTGATCATTTTAAAACCGTGTTTCTGTATATCATACAGATGTTAACAAAATTTCTTTTTTACGGCTATTGCCGCAGATAAAATATCACTCTTTTAAGAAGCTCTTATTACACAAACTTTTTCGAAAATTCAATATGTCACATGAATTTTCAAAGGAGAACTGTGAATTTCACTTAATGGAACGTCAACTAACTTCTGCGGGTCTAGGGTGTCAAGTTTTAATATACCTAGAAACACTATTTACACGGTCTGTATATCATGCAGCAAACTGTAATATTCGACTAAGCACATATATATAAGAATTTTAGAGAAAGTTGAGAAATTTAATTGGTGCCTTAAATAATAAGCATTGTATTTGTCCCCTGAGTCGCAATAAAAATGTCACTTTCTCGCAGATTATAATTGCCTTCGTTGGATAAGAGTAATTACTTCATATTAGATACGGTTGTAAACAAAGTTTGCTCCTGTAAATAAATTATTTCATCACCATATATACAAATTTTAATTGTAAGATAAATAATAGAGGAAAAAAATCCGAGAAATGTTATTATATTTTTAACTGAGAAAGTCGCCACTGCTCTCTAAATTATTCTATGCGTGACGCATTTGTTATCACTGCATGTAAGTTCCGAGATACAAATGACAGATAGGATCATTATAGTAGTCTATATTATTCCAAGAATCTATGCAGAAAGTATCGTGTAACATAATAATGTTACCTACGATAAAAAAAATGCAGAAACTATTGTTACGTTTATGTCGAATATATTACCCAAAATTCCTCCTGTAAAATCAATCATCTCAGTTCTCCTTAAAGTTTGTTGTGTAATGGTAGAGGTACATTCATTTTCAAAATCTCTATCTGGAGATACGGTAGTGTCTCGGCGCTAAGTCAAGCGCAGCGATATCCATTACTGCTATATAACAATTTTAAGGGCTCACTTAAATTGTATCATTTAAATCTACCACATGTAATTTATATTTTAAATGTTTCTATTTGATCTTCATTAAAAGTTTTTATCAATACGATCGACAGCTGGTCGAAATTTAAAGACAGGAAAGACTTCAACAAGATTAATATACAAACGAATAATAAAAAATCAACTTTTATAAGATGTTTACAATGTCTGAGATAGGTTAGATGATAGTCTCCCTCTCGAAGAATTTTTACATTATTAATATATGTGCATAATTATTTTAAGAAATTATTAAATAATGGCAAATAATACAAATTAAGTTTTATTATAAATGATTAAATCGTTTACATACAAAAATAATACAAAAATTCTGCTTTAATAATTTTTTAAAATTAGAAGTATGCGTTTCATAATATTTTATTCAATACACTAATTACTATTTCTTAAATATTCTGTGAATGTATAAAAATATACCAACGTAACATATATCTTAACTGTTGTCTATAAGTTTAATATACAGAGTGGTCCACTTCAATGCATCTCCACTAGAATATCTTAAAATTCTTAAGTTTAAGACAAAATTGTTTCAAACAAAAGTTGTTCAGTTATAAGGGGAAAGGGAAGATAATGATTTTGGTTGACTTTGAAAAAATATCTTTAAGATTACGTCAATGTTACATAACAGTTTTTAAACATAATTATATTTTGTTTTACATAATAATTCCTGCAATAATTATTCTGCATATAAAACTGTTAAGGTACAAATACCAAAAAACCAATAGTTTACGAGATATTTTATATTTTATTCTGATGTATTGACCTAAAACGTTAAATATCATAAACTATTAATTTTTTAATAATAGTACCTTAATACTTTCATGAACACCAGTGTGTGTGTGTGTCAGTTCAGAGAATGCAGGAATAAAGAACAAACCTTATGAGATTTTTCGAGACGAAAAGTGAAATTTTTCGTCATATTGCCGTAATTATCAATTTTCGGGATATTTTTTTCGGGATTTTGCACGTCCTCTGTTTTGTAATCACTTTGGATCATAAGATTGCAGATCCTGTTAGTCATTTTACTTAAAATAATAATGATTGTATCAAAACAATATTTTTTTTTAATATTAGCAATAATGACAGTTTAAAGTATCCAAATCGTGCATGTAGATGTTCATATTGTTTCTTGTACATCGTCCGCAGCCGTATTAATAAGGCAATCTTCATTTTCTGATGTATGGCGTCCCCAGTAATGTCGATATTTTCGAATTAATTGTGGAATAACAAGATTGTTATAGCATGCCATACCGATTAAAAGAATTATAAAACCAATGAGCTAAAATAAAAAATTCAATAATGTTTTAATGCTAAAGAAAAAATCCATATCACAATTGTACGAACACTGTCTAAAATCATTCTGGTTGTAGCGCTCATTTCCTTAGTAACACTAATACCAGCAAAATTAAAAAAAGCAATACTAAATGCTATACCTGCAATCAGAAATAATAGATTAGTATAAAGACCAAAAATTGATAGTTACGAAAGAAATTGAGAAAAAAAATAATAGACTAACCGATAACAGCTATCAATAATTTACTATTGCTTCCAATTTGGTTAAGAGCCTCTACAGTGGCTTCAAGTGTGCCGCGGGAATTATCCGCAAAAGGCGGTGGCGCAGTAATATAATTGAGAGGGATTATTGCTAGAGAAATACCAATAAATCCAAAGATACCTATAAAAATATTGTGTGATAAAATAAAAATTATTAACTAACATTTTAAAGATATTGTTTACATATATCAATATTTCTTAACAAAATTTATATAAAGAATATACTGACCTTCCCATCCAATTGCTTGTAATGCAGGAATATCCTGTTGTCCCACATACTTTTCTTCAACAACCATTTGAACAGCTGTTATTATCTAGAATATTTATATAAAATTTGAAATCATTTTATGAGACTAAACATACTTATCTTTGCATAATTAGGTATTTCATTTGAGCAAATGTAATTAAATCATAAACAAAAAATAGAGCTACAAGTGAAGTAAGTTTTTGAGACTAAATTATTAAACATCAAACAAAAGCTTATTCCAACATGTTTCAACCCCAATCAGGTTATTTTAAAATGTTAACAAACTTACACAATTTTAAATTCAAACAATATATAATCATTGTTACCACTATGATTAAAATTATTAAAACAATAAAATTAATGCTTAGATCAGAGTTTTAGTACAAAATATAACATCAAGAAATAAAAGAAATATTAAATTCTCGACCTTATATGTTTAATCCTGACCTATGTATTAATTCATAGCTATTAATAATTCATAGCTTCCAATTTACTCTTTTAAAACATCCGTTGATCATTGAGAATACAAGAACGAGTAAATTAAGATTCTTTTGTCTGAATTTTATTGTTGTAACAATCTAATCATAGTGATGACAAATATTGTATACTGATAATAAATAATAATAAGGATCTATAAATATAAAACAAAAGAAGGGCAAAGAGCCAGTAATGTAATAAAGAAATTTAATTCAAATAATGAAAATAAGATAATAATTACAAAGAACAAAACATACGTTTCGACTCCGATCGAGTCATTCTCAATGTTACAATGAATATATTACAAAATCCTTATAATCTATAAAGTATATAATATTACAAAAATCGTTATAAATCTATAAAATATTTGTATGCATTCTTCATTTTGTGTAATGTTGCGAGTTAATTAAGTCATAAATCAAGGTAGTAAAAAAGTAATAATCTTATCAGTTATATCAATAAAGTATTGAGAGTCCGTTAATGAAAAGGAGAAAAAGATGCAGAACAATGGTAATCCACATCATGGTAGCATACATAGATTTTTTATTATTAAAATTGAAGCAAATTTGCAAGAACAACGAACATCTGATTTCAACGACATCAGATAACATAAAAATATTTTATAGATTTATAACGATTTTTGTATTATATACTTTATAAATTATAACGATTTTGTAATATATTCAAAATATTGTAACATTGAGAACGACCCAATCAGAGTCGAAACGTATGTTATGTTCTTTATAATTATTAGCTTATTTTTATTATTTGAATTAAATTTCTTTGTTACACTACTGGCCCTTCTTTTGTCTATATTATTATATACTAGTTGAATTTTAAATCACAAGTTTATTAACATTTAGAATTAGATCTGATTGGAATCAAAACATATGTTAAAATAAACTTTTGTTTGTTGCTTAATAATTCAACATCAAGATTTTACTTGGCTCATAGCCCTATTTTTATTATTTCAGTTTTTGAGATCATTTGAGTTTTTTTACCTTATTAAATTTATAATTATATTGTTTTATACATATAAGCAATATAAAAAATCAATAAAAATGTACCTGGGCAAATATAATAAGCAAATCTCCAGTGATTACAGAATTGGCACTGACATCATTGTCTTCCATAACTAATATATCGCTAAGACCAACAAATATTAAACCTATTACAACCAAACTGATACCTATCCATTCTCTTGTTCCTAATTTTTTATTAAGAAATCCAATAGAAAGCATTCCTGTGAAAACAATTACTGATCCACGCAACATCTGGAAGCTGCTTGCATAAGTCATATTCAAACCAACGTACATTATGGATGTTGCAAACATATCACATAATGCAGGTACTATTAAAATAAAGGGATTAAAAATCCTTGAGCCTTTGGTGAGTACATTATTATCTACAGAACCATCCTGAAAATAAATTAACACATAATAACTTATCTATTTATTCTCCAAAAGAATATAAATCATAAATACTTACACCTCGCCGATTATAATAGGAGTAACAAATTTTAAACGCTAAGAAACAAAGAGCTTCTCCGAGAAACATAAATAATGATTGCATGAAAGGATGATTAAAATATCTAAGTTGTCCATCTTCACCAAGTACGACTTGTTGATCTGCAAATCTAAATAAATTTAATTTAAAGTTAATTGTAATATTTGTAAAATTAATTATGCATTATTTTCTTCTGCAGCATGTTTTCTTTATAACCTATATATAATACTTACTTAACTGATAAAGTATTAAATGAACCTGTAATTATTTGAAGCAGTGCTAAAGTACATTGAAAATTTGACCACGCCATTGTTTATAAGAAACAATAGTAGACAGTGATGATACACCACTAATGTTATATTAATACTTTCTGTTTATATGTATAAGAGTATGATAGAGGCTAGGTCTCTAGAGTATGACACATAAAAAAGTGCACTTTGTACTCTTAGCATGTAAAACAAAAGGTAGTTTCTTTATAACTTAACTTTCAGTACTTTTCTTTTTTTGTACGTCTAATTATAGATATGTTTTTGTAACAAAACTATTGTATCTATATTCTTCATACGGCTTCATACTAATCGAAATAAACATTTGAAGTTTGATAACAAGAAAGTTTCAGCAGAGAGATAAGATAGAAATCTGACAGCGGACATGCCCAACCCAACCTTTCATGCAATCACTTATATCCTCCTCCACTACACTAGCGCACCATCATTCATTTTCGAGAAACTACTACCACATCCACTTTTGTGACACGCCGATAAATCGTAGTATTGAAAATATAGACGTATGCGCCACGGAGAAAATGGATGTTGTACGAACTACGTGTTATGTCCGTAAGTTGATAAGAGCTGCACACAAAATTCCATAACAATGATTTTATTTTATCGCACATTTTATTTTATTATTTTTTATATATTTAATTATTGTTACTAAGTTTTCTGGTATACAATATGCACGGTAAATTGCGATAAATTTGATCAAAAAACTCGAATTGGATTAAAGGATTTACTATAGTGCGAACGTTTTTTTTTTTTTTTTAAGCAAAATTCTGTGTTTATATAATGTTTATTCGATTTATCTGTATATATACATATAGAATGGTATAATATACATATATTTACAATTTTATTTTTTTAACAAAATTATAATTAATTTTGTTAATCAATTAAATAATTTTGTACAGATGAATATTCAAGAAAAAATAACGCTATTATTAGTCATTTTAATAGAGAATATAATGAATACCAATACAAGTATAATCATTAATTATTATATGTTAATTTTTAATTACATATAATAAATTTAATATTTTAAATATTATCTATATACATATATTGTAGACTTGTTAACATTTTATAAATATATTGTACAAGCCGTATGGCACAAAAATAATCAATACATTAAATTAATTAGTATCTATATCGTGTATGATAAATTTATCTTTGAAATAATAAAATAAAAAAGTATCTACTAAATTATACCTTCCACAGATCGGAACACTGTGGTTCAGAAAAGTGTAATTTTTGTCACCTTATATTAGTCTCACAGTAGAATATATCTATTATATTTTATATTTCTAAATATATTCGAATGTTCCAAATAAAAACGGTAAAATAATTAATAATATAACTTAATCTCCTATTAGAATACCACTTCTAAAAAAGTGTCAAATATAAAAATGTTGGTCCTATCCATAGAAAAACGTCACACAGTCGAACTGAACATTTTAGCTGCGCATACGATTGTGTTGTAGTTGAAAAGCATCAAATAGTACATACCCTGTGTTTGGAAAACACACTTAATTAGTCAACGATATATACGCTATCGGGATCTTCTCATATAATTGTATGGACTGTCTTGGTTTTTTCATGCTATAATTTACAGGAAAATTCCTCTTTCGTGTACCAAATCTCGTAGGGTAATCCACATTTTTGAGGTCCTCTTCCATATTACTACATAAAGATTAGACAAAGACGAATAATTAACTTTGATGAACAATCAACTTTGAACGAGGTTTGATACACGAAGAAGGCCGGCATATTATAATTCTACTCTCAGGTTTTTCTCTTATACAGGCAAAGGATGACTAACAAGACGTCATATGAATCAATAATAGATATTTTGTAAAGCTCTAATATGTGTGGATCATTGTCAGCAAGATACAAAATGTTAGAGGGAACAGTATTGGTTATCCTCGGCTCGGTAGGGTACGAGGATGTCGGAGAACATATATT